TCAGAGGGACAGCTGGCCTGCCACGTGGGATGTGGTGTTACTCACAGATGCCAGGGAGCCAACCTAAGTGCCCACGGATGGATGGGTCACAGGGAAGGTGCGGTTGTTCACACCAGGGCTTTCCTATCAATCAGCTTCAAAGAAAGAGAAACTCTGTAGTTTGCGATGACATTGATGGAGCCAGAGAATGTCATGCCGAGTGAGGTAAGCAGAGACCCAAAGGCCTCCGGTTCTCACTCACAGGTGGACCCTAAAACGTCACCTCCCAGGAGCAGAGGGCAGCTTCCGTGTGCCAGGGTGGGGGCCTGGGAGGAGGGGACAGCAGTAATGGACGGCAGCCTCACCTGGGCAGGAGGAAGTCTGACTTTTCTGAGGTCTGTTACACACCATGGTGGTATAGCTGATAATAAGAACTGCGTATTTCATATCGCTGAGAGTGGACTCCCAATGTTCTCATCACGAATGTGTTAAGTGTTTGAGATAATGCCTATTTTCATTAGTTTGGTCTGATTTTTTGTATTCAGAAGAATCGTGACTTTCTACCCCATAAATGATCTTTTAAATATGTAATAAAAATTAAATTAAATTAAGAAGGTCAAAGACCACTTTTTTGGAGTGACTTGAACAAGGTCACACTTCTTTCCAGGTCCCCTTGTCGCTGTGCACGCACGCATCCATATCATCTCCTGACACCCAGGGTGCTCCCCCCCAGACCCTGCTGACTGCTACGCCCACCTCCTGGTGGCAGGCCTTGTCCCCCTAGGCTCACTCACTGTTATGGAAGGACGAGGGCCCCTTTGTGTTTTAGCTCTGTGTTTGTGAAGGAGACTTCCCTGTGGCCAGAGGGCTTGTATGTGTGTTCAGGGCGCCTTGTGCTGCAACCTCGCTGTGGGGCCAGAGAGCAGCCCCATCTCCTGCCATCCACTTTGCAATGCTGGGCGTGGAGCCAGGGCCCGCTGGGCAAAGGCTGCATCAGTCCTGTTTCTAAGGGGAGTGCCACAGGCAGGGCAGCTGCAGTGGCCTGGGGCCCGGGGACATCCCTAAGGCCTCCTCTGCTCTTCCTCAGTCCCTGGGAGAGCAACTGTGACCCTCACGAAAGTGCAGTCCTCAGGGAGCCCCTGTGATGTCCCAAAGTCAAGCCCAGCTCTCCCAAGCTGAGAAGTCCTAATGAAGCCCCCAGGGAGATTCCCTGGCCTTCCCTCCCCAGCCCCGACCACAGGGGAGAAAGACAAGCAAAGACTGGGGTGCTAACTGGTAACACAGATGCTGAGTGACGGCGAACAGCACAGCCACAGGTCCCCGCTACGTCGATGAGGCAATGGGTTCATTTGATTCGAGCCACGGCCTCGCTGAAAAGAAGAACTAAGATTATTTGACCAACAACATCACATTTCTGAAAATGAGCAAGATACAACAGCACGTGAGTGTACCCAGGGAAAAGCTGTGAGCCCGATCCCCAGTAGCCCACGGGAAAGGGCCAGGCCCATAACTGCCCAGCAGTGACGCTCGTGGCCTAGCAGGACCTCCTCCACGCGGGAGCAAAGACTGCAGGCTAGGCATTAAAACCACCAAATTAATAAAGTGTGAGTTGCTTTTTGCACTTGAGTTTTATTTTAATGAAAGTATTGCTTGGTTTAGAAGATATTTTCTCTCTCTTCACTTTCTAAGTTCCTGCTGCTGAGGAACATGGAGCCTGCCTCTCAGTACAGAGGACTAGGTGACCGGGAAAAAGACTTAGGAAAAGGGAGGGACGGTGTGACATTTCAAATGCTGTTGGATCGTGGTGCAGCAAGAAGTACAATTTAAATTTTGTTACGGAAATATGAAAAAATGTCAGCATTTTTAGATGACTAACAGACATCATTACTTTATATATATGTGTGACTGCATGACCAATATGTTCCTATAACATGTACACTCAGAAAAATGAGAAATCATATCCCATCTATGTATAGCAAAGTGCATAAATGTATTCTACTGTCATGTATAACTGATTAAAGCAAATAAAAAAATTTTTAAAAATGATATCCCCAACCACAGTAACATTACTTGATCTTCTAACTCTGTGGCAAATAATTGCCAAGATCCGTCAATGAAAGCTCCCCTCCCTTCCTCCTCTGTGCACTGCAGGGAACGTAGACGCCGTGGGGGAGCCTGTGGGTCTGGTGACTGAGAATCTCCACGTTCTAAAGCAGGAGGTGGACAGACAGGACCCAGCTGACCGCACGTCGCACTCAGCTGTTGTTTTCACGGTGATGCTGGAGACAGATGCCTGTGTTGTTTGTGCAGAGACTTTATGTACGCTTCCATCCCATTCTACACATACAAGAACGATTTTAGGATGGCTACCCAGATATTTTTTTTTCCTTTATATCATCGTCTGGATTTTTGGCACTGAGGCAGGTGTACCCTATGGGAATCCTCGCTTCTCTAGAGCTTTCTGGTTCCTTTAAGAATCTATTTGCTTGACCGTTTCTGACAGATGCAAATAACAGGTGCAAGGATTCTAAAGTCAGCCAGAACTTGGGGGGTGAAGAGTGCCTGTAAACAGACGTCTTCCGCTCGTGTCCCCTCCACCCCTGCTTTGTGCTCTGAGGCTGGTTTCACGGAGGCCACCCTCTCCGCCCGCCCTTGACTGACGGAGCAGATGACGGGTCCCCAGGCTGAAGCTGGGGGCACTCCTCCTTCCTGCAGGGCAGGCCCCCATCTTGGTCTCTCAGGCACCCTCTGTGCTTTGGGAGGTGAGTTTCCAGTGACAGGGCCACACCAGGTTCAGTCCTTTGATGTACAAGTTTGGACTGGCCTGGGGCCACCTTCCTGGGTTCCAACCCACCCTGCCACTGAAGGGTGAGGAGACCCCTAGGAAAACGGCTAACCCCCCTCATTTCTTCATCTGTAAAACGTGGATTACCAGAACTGCCCCATGGGAGGCTGTTCCTGAAGATCGGCCAGACAGCCCAGGTGAAGTCTCCCAGGCCCTGAGTGTGGTCGACTCCTTCCCGACCAGAGGATGCGGCATGGACCTGGCCAACAGGACAGCGGTGAGGGAGTTCCTTCTGCTGGGGTTCTCGGGAGCGCCCTGGCTGCAGCACGCGCTTTTCGCGCTGTTCCTGGCCGTGTACCTGCTCTCCCTCGTGGGAAACACCCTCATCATCTTCATCGTCCTGGTGGAGGCCACGCTGCAGACACCCATGTACGTTTTCCTAGGAAACCTGTCCTTCCTGGAGATCTGGTACACCACAGCCACGGTGCCTAAGCTGCTGGCCACCTGCCTGTCCAAGGGCGCGGCCATCTCTGTCTCTGGCTGCATTGTCCAGTACTACTTCTTCTTCTCCATGGGGGCCACCGAGTGCATCTTGCTGGCGGTGATGGCCTACGACCGGTATGTGGCCATCTGCAGCCCTCTCCGCTACTCCCTTCTCATGAGCCTTCAGCTCTGCCTGCGCTTTGCAGCTGGGTCTTGGGTTGGGGGCTTCGCGGCCCCCCTCCTACCTACCATACTCATCTCTCGCCTGAACTTCTGTGGCCCTCAGAAGATCAACCACTTCTTCTGTGACTCAGACCCCATTTTTAAACTTTCCTGCTCAGACACGTTCTTGGCAGAGGCCTTGGGCTATACCTGCAGCTCTGTGGTGATTCTCAGCTCCTTCCTCCTCACCATGTCCTCCTACGGCAACATTGTGGCCACCGTCCTCAGGCTGTCCTCCCTAGAGGCTCGGAAGAAGACCTTCTTCACCTGTGCCTCCCACCTCACCGTGGTCACCATCTACTACGGCACCATCATCTTCGCCTACGTCCGCCCTCCAGCCAAGTACAACTTCACCATTGGCAAAGTGATCTCCGTGTTCTACTGCGTGGTCACCCCGCTGGTGAACCCACTCATATATACCCTGAGAAACAAAGACGTGAAGAAAGCGTTCAGGAAAATTCTGGCACAGAAGAGATTCCTCTTGACCAGAAACAGACAGGAGTTTTGAGATATCAACACAGAAAAGCAGTTTAGAATGGAAACTCAAACTCATGTGCAAATGGTAAGTACTAAAAACCATAGTCTGCTGTTGATACCACCTAATGTGGCCACCTGTGCATGGTACTTGTGTTTTGAACTCCACTGGACAGCAGTTCCAAGTCTGCTCTGCCTGTGGTGCCTTAGTACAGCACTGTGATGGGGGAAGGTACCTGACCCAGGCTCCTGCCCCTAATGCGTCTCCCGGCAGTGTTCCAGGGACCCCGGGCCACAAAATCTCTGTTAAGTGGGGGCAGTGGTCCTCTATCTAATGATCTGATGGTCTGATCTACACTTGGTCCTTTGTACCTCAAAGATGTGTCCCCTTCAGGGACATTTCCTACACACACATGCCGAGTCAATGTTCTTCTCAGGCATTGATGTTGACTTGTCAATGATAATGCAGCTTAATAATTCTGTTAGAAAAATTAGGTCATCAGGATTTTTCTGAGGAACATAAAGCCATGAGTAAATGGGGCTGGGGTTGTGGCTCAGAGGTAGAACACTCGCCTAGCACGTGTGAGACACCGGGTTCCACCCTCAGCACCACATAAAAATAAAATAAAGGTATTGTGTCCACCTACAACTAAAAAATAAATATTAAAAGAAAAAAACATGAGTAAATTAACTCTATTTCAAAAATTAGCAAGGATACCATGACTCAAAAGAAAAAAAAAGCAACTTAGATCTGGACACTGAGAATGGAATATCTTAGGTGGTGAGGTAGTGACTGTTTCAGATTCCTACAACGTATGCAAGGAGACACCTAATTAAGCAAAAACAAGTCTGATGCTGAAAGAGAAGAATGAAGGGCTCCAGGTGTCCCCCCCTGCCCAGCCCTCTCCTGTGAGGAGGAAGCCCTGTCATTCCCGTCAGTGCAGCACAGGAGCACAGGTGACAGCAGGGGACAGACCCTAACTCCAGAGCCAGCCCTCTAGGTCAGGCCTCCTCCACCTGCTCCCTGTAAGTGCCATGGTGGCCCAGTGGCCAGGGCAAGCCGAGGGACAGCAGGACCTCACCTGGACCTCTGGGCTGAGAACCTGCCCTGCTAGGAGGTCAGGACCAAATCCAGTCTCCAGGGGCAAACTAGAACAAACTAACTCGACCAAGGTGTTTTTAATGACAAGAAAATGGAATAAAATCCAGAGTTTGTAGCACAGGCCTATGTTTGAAAAATTTTTTAGTTTAAATTGCAAGATGAGATTCTCTGGATTCCACGAGAGCTATGATAAAATCTTTGGTGAATGCCTGGTTTTTAGTTTTCACTTTTGAAGCAGTGAACAATCTTGGCAACTGTCACCAAGGTGACCTTTACAGGTTAACATGAAACTTGGGCCACATAACATCTTTTCTAAACCTCGGCCTTCCACCAGAACCTCAAAGCCATGTGCAAACTGTCCCAACAGCGAGGAGCTGCTCGGCGTCGTTGTGTGCAAACTTGAAGAAGGCGAGGTCCTCATCCTGTCATGGTGGCAGTCTTCCCCGTAGCCAACCTCTAGGGACACCCTCCTATTTCCTGTGTTATGGCCTCGGGCCGTATCTGAACTCCCTCCCTGGCAGCTCCCCCATTCCCAGGTGCTCCCTGGGGCTGCTCTGGGCTGGGTCAACCCAGAGCTGCGTGTGGCCCGGAGAAGGGGCTCACTCTGCGCTCCAGGCTGCACCTTCAGACACTTGGAAGAACCCCCCACCCCCCACCCCCCACAGCTCCTTCATTTTCACCCCGGTGTTTTGTTTTGGGGTCTTTTAGGGCACACTCGGGCGTGGCAGGAAGTGTGGGTTTACTGGGAGGGACAAACATGGTGATAGCTACAACGGTGGCAACTTCTTAGGTGGGACGCACTGGAGAGGACCTTCCTGGAGTGTCAGTCTGTGCTGATGGAGACCCTCTGGAGACCCTCTGGGGACCCTCATAAGGCAGAATAGCAGAAAAAAGGGAAATGCAAACCCAGGTCAGGTACAGAAGTCCCCAGGGTCTAACGACAGTCAAAAATATTCCATCATATTTGGATCATAAAACTCTACGTCCATCTGAAGGAAGTTCACAAAACTTTTTGCAGGAGACACACGGAGAGGACCGTCCCTTCCAGGCTGCTGTCCAAGTCTAGACCCGACTCACACATTGATACCAACTGGCACGGCAACGCATCTGGGGCGTCTCTCCTAAGATTTAAAGCAACTTCTCAATTTAGGAAATCATTTTAAAGCTTTCTATTTTTTGGTGGTATATTGCTGTGTGATGTGAATTTACTAAAGTAGCTGATACCACTTACAGTGTGGGCATGAAATTCGCGCTGCAGCGTCTCTGATGTTCTCAGGGACTGGATTTCCTTGTAGAGCCTCTGCCTCCCTGACGGCCACCTTGAGGTTGAATTGTGCCACAGGCTGCGGCAGAAGTGACCTCGACTTTGCCCCAAGAAATGTCTCGTGCAGCTGCTCAAGTTGGCAATCCTGACCCCCAGTGGTCCCCTGGCTGTGCCACTCTGTGGCTGCCCGTGAGCACCGATGTCATCCTGTTTTCACACTGTATCTTTCCTCATGAATGGACAAGGGTTTATCTCCACCAATAACAGCAGAATCAAGCTGTCTGTGTCCACGTTTCAAATGCTACAGCATCCTCCTCAGGGGCCTGCCTCCTTCCTCTCAGGATACCTTCCAAACTGTCCTCTGCGTCACACCCAGTGGGAGGGTTTTGCAGTGTCAGTCAGAGCTGCCTCTGTCCTGCTTAGCAGACACCAGTGTCCTTGTCTTGTCCTAGTGCTGGCCCTGACCTAGAAACCCTGCCTGGCCTGGCCACCTCTTTCCATGTTCTTTCTTTTGCTAGAGTTAAAGACCTGTGATAGCCCATTACCACACACCGGCCACAGCCCCCCCAGCCATTGCACTCATGGCTGGCCCCCTGCAGGACCCTGCTCCCAGCACTGGGGCTGCACTTCTCCCCAGGCCCCTTCCCCGCCAGGCTGCCCCCCTGGGAAGGAGTCCTGGCCTCCTGGAAAATCTCAGAGTTCCAGCTCACCCGCCTTACAGTCAGGGGCCTTCCACTCAGACTTCGCTTGGTTACCGTTGCACATCTTTCCATCTGACAATATGAGAGTGGAACTGAAACACAGTCTCTTATCCTACTTCTCATGATAAATTATATCAAAAGTTCACAAAGCGAAGCCAAGGGAATATTAAGCAATCTCAGTTCTTCACCTGTCCCGTCGCCCTGTCTAAAGTGCTCTCATGATCTCCTGGGTTTTCATTGTGAAGCCAAGGAAGGGAAGGCACAAGAGAGGAATTTATAACCTTCCCCGAAAACCCTGGAATTGCATGCACAGCATACCCTTGGGATCTCAGTTCATTATGAAGTGTCTTGAAGAAGGTTCAATATCAGGGCGAAGAGAGACTTTTTTTTTTTTTTGCCATCCTATGTTCCATCAAATGTCCTGTTTTTGCAGATTTCTCTAGTATCCGATGGTTTCTGATTTCTGCTATTTCAAAAAAGTCCTAGACAAATAATGTTATGTAGTAGTGTGTGCATGTAAATGTAGACGAGTGTGTCTATGTTTGGGTGTGCATGTGAATATAGATGTGTGTGTATTTGTGTCTATATGTGTGTGTGCATGTGAATGTAGGTGTGTGTGTGTGTGTGTGTGTGTGTGATTCTCAGGAGTGGAACTGAAGGTCCAAGTAAAATGCATTCACATATTTAATAGATAAATTCAATTTTGTCCCCAAGAGAATTTCAAAATTTTGTATTTCCAACAGCCATTCTACCAGTGCAGCTCCTTTAGAGAAGATCTTTCCAAAAGATGAATTTGGTCAATCTGTTATGTAAAAACCCAAAGCAAGCAAACAAAAAAACCCCAATTTTGATGAGCTACATTAGTACTTTGACTATAAGTTTGATATTTCACATGAATATCCCAAATCCTGGTATTCCACACCCACAGAATCTGTCTTGTTTGTTTTTCCCATTTTTCTGTTGTGCTACCAACTCATTCCTGTCAGTATCAGGGATTTTGTTCTGGTTTTAAGAAATACTAACCTTGAACTATGAGCTGAGTTGCAAATATTTCCCTGTTTGCAGATTTTTAAATATATGCTTCTATCAACCTGAGGAAAATACTTTTCATTTAGTTGTATATTTCAATCCTCAACATCACGAACCTTATATTTTAAGGAAATACTTTTCTTTTACAATTATTTGAAAGGATTTCAACATGTTTTGTTCTAGAATTTCTTTCTTTTTTTCTCAAAAAGCATAATTTGCCCATAGGAAGTGGTCACCTTGTTTACAGTTTGTTGCAATAGATTAGATATTTTCAAGGTAAACGTTCATTCACGGCAACATTATGTATCAAGAGGAAATAAAATCAGCCTCCTAAAGAAGAAAGAAAACCGCCATGGACGTCCTGCCTGGTCTGTGTGTGGCGCACAGCTGGCCGTCCTGCTCACACCCTGTGCCCTTTGGGAAGGGGCCTCTGCTGGGGCTGAGGGGCCTTGGCAGCCCTCTTGGAGGCAGCTGGCCGCTGGAGCTGTCCAGCTCTTCTGTGCGTGCTGGCTATGGCTGAGCTTGGGCAAGCGTGTTGCCATGGTTACGGGTCTGTCCATCTCTCCCTGGGCAGTCAGTTTGCTCCATGGGTCCTGAAGCTCTGCTGGGGGTGGCTCTTGCTGAGCTGATGGTTCTATCATTGCAGCACCTGTTCTTACTCTTGTAGTTTTCTTTAGGGTAAAAATCAACAGCCACCCCTGACTTCTTTGATTAGTGTTTGTGTAGTATATATTTTGATTCTTTTACTTTTTTTTTTGGTACTGGGGATTGAACTCAGGGGCACTCAACCACTGAGCCATATCCCCAGCCCTATTTTGTATTATATTTAGAGACAGGGTCTCACTGTTGCTGAGTCTGGCTTTGAACTCATAATCTACTGCCTCAGCCTCCCAAGCAGCTGGGATTACAAGCATCCGCCACCGTGCCCAGCTGATTCT